GTGCCGCGCGCCCGCTTCCAGAAAGCACGATAATGTCGTTTGATCTGCTGACCTTGTCTGCTCGGTAGCGGCATCACGACTTGGCGCCCCGCCCCGTGACACACGGTGTTGAGCATCGGCACCTTGGTGGTGCTCTCGGGACCTAGGACGAAGAAGATGTCCATGCCGATGACGTCGTTGAACTGGTAGGTCGTGGGGGCCTTGGACGGTTTGCCCAGCCTGGGACGCTTGCTTGCCTCACAGCTTGGACAAGCCTGATGCTGCGCGGCCTCGATGAAGGCCTGGCGAGCCTTGCCATACTTCAAAACCATCACAAGATTCTCGTTACTGCAGTGACCCATGCTCTCGTGTATCTTCTGCACCTGCTGCTTGACATGCGGATCCGTGCTCCTCTCGTCCTTGTTGTTGGAGACGGGCGCCGTACAACAAGACACACACACACTGCAAACTTGAATTTTCGTCGTCCATCTTCGTCTCGACGGTCGCCAGATCGTTCATCTTGGCCTTCACGGTGGCTCGTGCCAGAGCTCCAGTAAGCTCCTGCAGGGGCATCGGCACGTCCCCCAGCTTGTTCTGCAGAGAGCCCTGCACGAATTCCTGACTCAGCATCTTCCCGTACTCTGATGCCTGGCCAGGCAGGTTGGTCAAACATGCCCGTCCTCGTGCATCAGCTTTCCCCGAGAAGACCTCGGGAAGTCGCCTCAGCTTCTGGATGAGCGGGCCGTCCCATTCTCGAGAGCTCTCCTTCTGCTCGTAGTAGAAGTACCTGCTGGCAATCGCCTGCTGGATCGCCATGTCCGACATGAAGGTCGCCACGTCCCTGCCGATCTTCTCCTTGAGCTTGTTGAAGATGTCCTTGGGCGGCTTGATGATCGCGAATAAGGGACTCGCACTCTTGATCATGTTCCACGCCTCTTTCTGCCCGCTTCTCGCTTGTAAGTGATGTCCTGCCACGACCATCACATGCTTCCGCTCTGTGGTTTCGTGCAAGGGAACCCCGCCAGTCTCCATCGCATCGTCGTCATCGTGAAACTGCTCGTCCAGCTGGCCGAGGAAAGCGGTGCACTCAGGAATCGCGCCCTCCATGGCCGCATGGCATCCCTCATCTTGTCCGTTTCGCCTAACACCTTGAGCGCCTTGCTGATCTCCCGCCCCTCCTTCTCGGTCAGCTCGTCTACTGGTCGCTGATGTCCGCCCCGGGGTGGCCGCGCAGGTTCTCCACCAGCTGGTTGGTCGTCGCGTTGGCGTTCTCGTCCTGCAGCAGCTCCTTCAAGGCGATCAGAGCCTTGCTCCGAGGTGACTGGTCCTGCACCTCCTCGCCCAGCGTCTCCCACTCCTCCTGCTCGGCCGCCTCCGTCAGACCCTCGATCTGATCCTCCGGCTCTGCAGGTGGACCTCCCGACTGCCTCGAGGTCGATCTGGCTCTCGATCTCGGCCCCATCTTGGCCCTCGGCGCGCTGCTGCGCGTCGAAGGCTCGCGTGGAGTTCCCGACGAGGTCCATGCTTTCAGTGCTCGAGGTTGCCGACCCTTGATCTCCGCCTCCAGGATCTTGCACTCCTCGAGCTGCTCGCAGATGTCCTTCATGCTGGGAGCTCCCTTGGGGTAGAATTCCACGTGTAGCCTGCGTCCGCTGCACTGGCTCCAGAACGCTCTCGCATTCCCGCCGTGGTGAGTAAACTCGTGGAGGCAGGACTGCTCCTTCCTGGGGTCGTGATCTCTGGCCCCCGTGCCCACAGCTGGGGTCCGAGGTCCTTGATCCCCCACATCGTAGTAGCGACACATCATCACTCCTGTGGGCGGTCGGCTCTCCGAGCTGACCTCGTGCCAGGGCCGCTGGAACTTCGGCGCCGTCGTCTTGGCCTGGCTCTTGTTGGCGCCCGACTGCCGCGCCCTCAGCAGCGACGCCTTCTGCTGCATGAAAGAAGACGAGTGCTGCGAGCGCTCGTCGCATGACATGGAAATATGGAAATAATTCCAAAGACGTTCTGCGCGTTCGGCTCGAGCCTAACTCCTGACGGAACTGGGCGATGTTGTCAATTATGCTGTCCAGGTGCTTGTTGTTGATGCTGTTCTCGTCATGTACGCTGTTCTCGGACCCGCTGGTGATGCTTGTCACGGCATTTTGTTTCACGTGTTTGCTGTTGGTGCTGTTCACGTGCTTGCTATTGTCGATTCTCTGCTTGTTAAGCTGAACATTCTGTTTATGCGTTCCTCCTGATAATCCTCCTCCTTGCAGTAGTCTTGCTATTTGTGCTGCCTTCTGTCTGGCGTTCTTTGCTGTCCTACTGATGTCTGCCTGTTGTTTTGTTCCAACTCCAACACTTGAAAACACACAGCCTCTTCCCTTCTGATCCTCACTGTCGTTTAAGAGGTCCTCGGAGATGAGGAAGGTGGAGGGATGCTTATACTCGGTCCTGGAACTGAAACCAATAGAAACCTCCTTCGTGCACAGTGTCCAGCTTTCAGGTTTACCCCGCGGTCTCGTGAAGTTATCGAGCTGCAACAAGAAGTGCCCCCCTCCAGCGTGCGCCAAGGGGAGTCGCAGGCTCTGCTCAGGCAAATCCAACTCCGACTGAAATGCATGGAGGGACGCCTTCAGCTCCACGACAAATGTCTTAGACAACAAAAGTGGAGCCGCCCCCTGCACCAGGCACGCAACATGATGGACCCACGAACCCGGAAAGGGATATAGACATGTGGAGCATGGACACGTTTTCATGATACCCAACTGGGCAACACCTCACGAAACATCCCACGAGACACCTCACGAAACAGCCCACGAGACACCTCACGAAACATTCCACGAGACACCTCACGAAACATTTCACGAGACACCCCGCGAAACATTCCACGAGACACCCCACGAAACATTCCACGACGACAGGCAACCACTCAACCAAGGCGGTGTGGTCGTGCTGGGGAGTGGTCGTGCTGGGGTGTGGTAGTGCGGGGGGTGGTAGTGATGCGAGGGGTGGTCGGCTGGGGGGGTGGTGCGGATTGGGGGTGGGTGATAGGATGGGGCGTGGTCGTGCTGGGGCGCGGTCGTGCTGGGGCGTGGTCGTGATGGG